TCTCCTGGATTTACATGAGTCCTACTTACTCGCTCTTGCTTGCCAGGCGGCAACATTGTTTGCACCATGCATAGGGGTTCGATTACGACATTCAAATACAGAGGTAACTAAACAAGATCTCCTGTTTTAAAATGTACACATTATTTGCCCAACTGACTGTTAGGAGAGAAAATGTGTTGATCTGCAATAGTCCACCGAAGAACGAAGGCCTTCGGAAAAAACAAACATTTTAAATTCAGAAGAGAAGGATCACCGGATAAAAGCTGGAATTGACATTTGCAACACCAATTTTACCGATTCCAATGATATTATTTGGCAATTTAAAATTGTCATAATAATAATAATAATAACATTTTTACAAAAGGAGATTCTATGTATTCTAGTATGAAAAGCATTCTTGTATTCCTGTATTTCAACATATACTTAAACTTTCTTTTTTTTAAATGTCAATGCATGCCAATGCAAATATACATAAAACCTTATATTTTTCAAATGTTAAAAATAAAATATAAAATAAACTTAAATAAAAGGATTTCATTTTAAAATCTAAATAAAAATTAGAAAAATGTGACAAGAAAAAAATAACAAAAGATAAAAATAGAAAACAAAAGCAAAAGGAGAGAAACCGAAACTTGTGCCGTCCTAGTGAGGGGCATGTTAGTGCTCACTGCGATTCTTCCCTTAAATGCAGATAATATGCTTAACCAGAATAATGCCCTTCCCTAAAAAGTATCGCTTTTCCAACAGTTTAATTCAAAAAAAAAGTGTTAATTTGTCACCATTTTCAAGCAATGGGTATCATATAGTAGTTTTAGTTCCAACGACCAAGCAACATTGTCTTAGTGAAGTTATCCCATAGACAAGGCTCCAGATTTAATGAGGGCTAATTTCAGAAAGAACTTAAGCAATATGGTGAGCAGCAACGGCCAAGAAGCTGCATTTGGCTTTGAGCTCTCTGCTTAGTTTGATTTTCTCTCATTTGGATCATGTACTTCATAAAAAAGGTTAATAAAATACGGCGCTCACAATCGCAAATATCTTACTAATCAGATCATTTTGTAGAGACCGACCTTTCGAGAGATTGAGGACCGTTGCCGCGACTGAAGCAATTGAGCGGAGGCAACAGTGCAAAGGACTGGATAAGGAGACAGGGCTCTCCGCTCTCGAATGCACAAAATACAGTTGCTGCAAGTACCAGACTAATTTGGTAGCATCAGTAGCCTGCAACAAATTAAAAGGGAGTTGCTTTGATTGGAGGTGATGAACTAACTAGTACACTACCAACCAATAGCCGCTCTCTAAAAGGACAGATAACGAAAAATGGCTGGGATGCCTATTTGGTTTAGTTATAGGAACAAATTGTTAGTGTGCATAAGTAGGATGGCAAACGGTTACAGTAGGTGTAATAGGCCCATAACCTCGATTTTTTTTTGAAAGTGTGATGAATTTTATAGCAAATTCGAAAACTATACGCCCTAATGCATAAAAATCAAAACTATGACCCCGTCGGCCTTCTATTGGCCGAAGAGGACCTTTTCGGCCTACCGTTGGCCGAAGTGAGCTCTTCGGCCTCCCGTTGACCGAAGAGTGGCTAGCTGGGCCAAAGACAGTAGCTTCAGCTTACTGTTGGCCGAAGAGTGGTCTTCGGCTTCCTGAAGGCCGAAGAGTGCCGAACCCGTCCAGGCGCTCTGCCTCGGCTAGGGCTGGACAAAAAGCTCGAAACTCGGTGAGTCTAATGAGCGCTTGGCTGCTCGACTCGTTT